TCTCACTGTTTCTCGTCCTCCCACACACACACTGTCAGGCTTTCACTCAGCGTGTATTAAACAGAGAGGAAGTAGGAGCGGAAAGCACGTTAACGCTTCTTCTCTGCTGGCTCGAGAACAGTTCTAGTCAAGTGGAGGATAAAAATAACACTCCAGTGCTTTGTTTATGCGGCCCGGAGATCAGTTGGGTAGTACAGTGGGTGGTAAAAGAAACACCCAGTGTGACTGTGAACCTTCTGCTAATTAAATAGCCTTGCAGGTGCCACCATCAGGGACATTATTACCCTGTGGGCAGAAACGGCCGGTTTCTGCTGATCTGAGATCTGTTTCTAAACCAGAATACTGACCTTTAAGCGACGGTTTGGCCAAAAATTTCATTTACACAATTTTTCACACTTGACCCAAACATTATGATTAGCCATAATTAGATTAGGTGTCTGAAGTTTACTTCTTTAGTCTTGCAGTGGAGGACAAAAAAAAACAGCCTTCAAGATAGCTGGTACTTTTTTTTTTTTTGTTTGTCCATGTTTATAGTTAACAGTATGTCAAACCATATCAGAAACCACATATTTGAGGTTACCTAACTCAAAAAAAAACTGATTTCGTTTTTGAAATACTGCAGTTTTTACTGATGTTTAGCTAATTTCTCAGATAGTAACAGAAGAATGTAGCTAATGGATGAGCTTTGCAAAAGTGATTACAAAGCATTCCTTGTGGTTTGAAGCTTTCCAAGTCAGAATTGTTTACAGTGGTTACAGGAATCAGATGTCTTAAGAGTTTATTGCCTCTAACATCACAGAACGTTCTTACACTAAATGGTTACAAATATACTGCCTGATGTCTGAGATGACGTTTTGTGGTCAGTGGTAACTGGTGGGGTATAAGCTTCCCTTACCAACACAAAACTAAAGAAGTAAACTTCAGACACCAAATGTGTCTTGGCTGATCAACTACATTTGGGAAAACTGTGAAAATATGACTTTTTGCTGAACCATTGCTTTAAACAATATAAGAGGAACAACATGACTCCTTTTTGATGAGCTCAACATACACTCACATGCACAACAAGTCGAACCTTGAGGTGGATGGGCTACAACAGCGGAAGACCATGATGGGTTCATCTTCTATAATCCAAGAACAGACAGCTGAAGATGCAGTGGGCACAGGCTCATCAAAACTGGACAGCTGAAGACTGGACAAATGTTACCTGGCCTGATGAATCTTGATTTCTGCTGAGTCACACAGATGGCCTTAACAACAGTCCAGGCTTGTGGAGGAGCTGTAAAGGTTCAGGGGATGTTGTCTTGACACACTTTGGGCCCATTAATACCAACCAATCTTTGCTTGAATGCCACAGCCTATTTGAGTACTGACAGACCATGTGCATCCCTTCATAGCCACAATTTACCCACCGTTTAATGGCTAATCCTAGCATGATAATGCACCATTTCACAAGGCAAAATTCATCTCAAACTGACTTCTTGAACATGTCAATGAGTTCAGTGTTCTTACGTTGCCTTTCCTGCCAACAGATCTGAACCCAAAAGAACATCTTCGGGATGTTGTAGAACAGGAGATTCGCAGCATGAAAGTGCACCTGAAAGATCTGTAGAAATTGCATGATGCAACCCTGTCAACACAGACCGAAACCTCAAAGGAATGTTTCCATCTTGTGGAATCTATGCCACGAAGAATTGAGGCAGTTTTCAGAACAAAGGGAGGCCCTATCCAGTTTTAGTACAGCGTTCCTAATAAAGTACTCGCTGAGTGTGTGTCAGCACTTATTAATGTACGTGGGCTCCCTCAGAATTGAGTGGAATGTTAGCAGGGCAGGCCAAAAGTAAGAAGATCGGATATTACCACATATACAGAGGCACAGCTGTATAGGCAAGTGCTGAAGGCTCTTTGTTGACTCTGTTTAGGAGGCTGAAACGAGTCTTTGAGGACAGAACAATCCCCGATCTGAGCCAGGGGGCGGGAGTGGGGGATGACAGAGAACTGCACAGCCTGATGTTTCATGACACACACACACCAGCTGTCTACTGTTTCTGTCCGTATCAGTCCTGAATATACATCATTATACCAGCCAGAGACTCACACACCACTGTGTACAGCACTCTATTGTACAAACACCACCAGACACCTGCAACAGCTTCACTAGCTAACAACTCTGTTAGCCTATAGCACCATAATGATTCATCTAAATTGGCATGCAGGATTTGGCATCAATGACATCAACGGTGGTACATGTATCTTTTTGCTTGATCACCACTGTTGTGATAATATTCATGTCCTCTAGTGCCTCTATTGAATATGTCAGTTATGGTAGTGTCAGGCTAACAGTGCAGTACATTCACTTTACAGTCACTTTACAATCAGTCATCACAGATCTAGCATAAGCAACCAAGTAATCAGATTGTATTGCAGCTCTTAGGTTACAGATCTGTAATAAATACAGACTACTTGTAATCTATACCAGAATACACTTTTAAAGTAAGCCTACCAGCCCTGATAACTAGTATTGACTTATACAGTCGAGTCCATAAATGTGTACAGTAATGTTATTACTGTACAAAAAAACAAAAGCACAAGAGAGACAGTAAAAACATTAGATGTGGACAAAACAGCTCTTTGGCCCATTCCTAAAAAGAAGGCAAGCACTGGTAAGCTCAGAAAAAACATAAGGCCAGGAAAACAACTGTTGTGGATGACAGAAGAATTCTTTCCAAAAAAAAATAAAATAAATAAACCCTTCACAACAGTTGGGCAGATCAAGAACACCCTTCAAGAGCTCAGCGTATCTGTGTTAAAGTCAATAACCAAGAAAAGACTTCACCAGAGTAAATACAGAGGGTTTACCACAAGATGTAGATCAATGATCATAATCCAAAGCATATAACCTCATATGTCAAGCATGGTGGAGGTAGTGTTATCATGTGGATGTACTGATGCCAATGGAGCTGGTACCCTATTTATTGATGTGACTGCTGACAAAAGCAGCAGGATGAAGGACAACCCAAAGCAGACTGAGAAAGCAACCCAATTTTTTTTTCTTTTTTTAAGGCAAAGAAATGAAATGTTCTGCAATAGCCAAGTCAATTACCTGACCTCTATCCAATTTAGTCCATCAAGTATTAAAAAATGACAATTTATGATTGTTAGTTTGTCCAATTTCGTTTGAGCCCCTAAAAATGAAAGGGGGGGGCTATTATGAAAATAGCTGTAATTCCTACACAGTTCACCCAAATTGGATGTAAACCAACGTATACTCTAAATTAAAGTTCAAAGTCTGCACTTTGAACTCCAATATGCTGTGGTTAATAGCTAAAATAACAACAACTGTGCCAACATGACTGTTGCAGTTAGCTAAGGCATCATGAGAGTTTGTTTGCATTTCAATTTACATAAACCTAAGTACTGATTAGATACTATATAAACAGCCATTTATTACCGCTTCCTTCTCCACTCGCCTTCAGGGTTATGCGTTAATGGCTACTGGTCGTTGTGACAATCACATGTGAGTCATTAAAAGATGCTGTACAAATAAGCTAAGCTAATCAGCTAGAATCATGTTTCATTAACTAGACAAACAAAACTGCCGCTTATTCATCCTTAGCAAGTTAGCTGACATTATCTAATGAAAACAAGACAGCGGCTTCGTGTCCCTATTTCCCGCTGGCCTGACAGCGCATTTTAAATGTAAACTCCAAGTCTTTATCTGAGATAGTCTACACTAGAGGTCTACAAGGGCATGAAATCAAAGCCCCAACTTGACTCATACCTGCGACTTTGAGACCCAACTCATCCAGGCCCGACTGGTACTGACAAATTTGAAAACTGTTACACATTTTTGAGATGGCAAAAAATTAATGAGAACAACTCATCTACACTTTTCTAAAAGCAGAGCTTTTGCTGTACTAACTATGTGTCGCTGAAGAGATGACCAGTCCTCCTGCCATCATAGCTCAAAATACTACTGAAAGCTCTACACTGGGGTATTCGACTAAAACTTGCAAAGGTCCAATTACACCAAATTACACTTTGCTTACAAAGGTTTGGATGAACAAATTAACATAAGTGAATCACAACAACGGTTATTTTTAAATGCTTAACTGTTAATAATTCTTCCAGGTAACAAATAAAACAAAATAAGACTCAAATATATTTTGATAAACTGTTTTAATTTTGAAAAAAAAAGAATGGTGGAGATTTCACGTTGAGCTTTGAGTTTATTTTATTCATCATCACAGCTGAATTTTGTCGGTAGGTTAATTCAAAGTGATTTGTTTCACTGCGGCACTTAATGCTTTCACTTTTGACTCGCCACAGACTCTGATCAGATGAGACACATTGCTTTTGTACTTGAAACAGGGAGAAAAACACACAGTTCTCTGATCATTTGCTTTTCAATACTCTGTTTCTGTGCAGACTTTGGTTAAGTGGTGTACATAAATGAATCTGATTGGATGAGCCACAACACATGACTGTTACAGAAGCTGTAGTGTTCACGTTGCCGAAACACACATTAACTGGCCTTGATGTAGAATTGTTCTCAAATATTTGATTTGTTATTGAAATACTTTGCTGGGTCCGCATCTGGACTGCAGGCCGCCAGTTGACGACCCCTTGCTTTACACTGTACATGACCAGTGTGCTTTTTATCTGAAGTAACAAAAAAGTCATACAGTTTCACAATGAAGACGTCTCTGACTTCTTTCTCTTTCTCTTTTTATAGAGTTTCTTTCGTATTTTCGTCCATAGCAAACATTAGTAAGACTGGCTTTATTTTACATGTACAAGGTATTTCCTTCAAATAAAAACAAACCTACATATAAAAAGCACTCATTATGAAACAGACCAAACCAAGCCAAAATTCGGCCCTTGGGTAGGACAGCAGACCTCTAGCCTGCACTAAGAGATCCCGGTAAAGACACTGGTTACCTGATCACCTGTTTCAGGCGTTTTGAATATGCATACCAGTGAAAAAGCAGAGACGTTAGTTCGTGTGAGGGGATACAGTAGTGCTTTTATTCAGAAACTATAACAATGGGCAGTGTCTATCCTACTCTTCCACTAGCGGCGGAGGGGAAAGCTTGAGACTGAAGTTTTCACTGTGGTAGATGCTTCCTGTTCCCGGATGGGTGGGGTTCAGCAGCCCCGCCTTCTCGTTGCTATGGCAATGGGAGATTTCTGTGAGGATAGACAACTGGAAAACAAAAAAAAAGGAGAAAAGAGAACGTAAACAACACAGCTTTATGAAAACACCCTAAAAATATACAGTAACTTTTTTCCACATTATGCCTTGAACACAGAATTTAAAACCAGTTTGTTGTAATGGTAAAGAAAAATATTAGGTACAAGCTAGACATTTAATACTGTTCATTTCCTCACGGTTCTCTCCTGCTGAGTGTTCCTTAAAGCCTACAGGCATTAAATCAGCTAATTAGTCAGCCCTCTTGAGGAAACCTTATGTTTCTCTTTTTAAACGTGATTTTTTTTCTGTTGGCTTCATTAATTCGTAGCGGCGCTGATTCAGCTGGAAGCTAAGAATGACGAGGGTTCATACGCTGACCTTGACTAACACAGACTCAAACACATCATACCGCAGTGCATACAATGCTGTGACTCATTCACACACACACACACACACATAAAATATAAAATACTCTGAGGAAAACACAACGAGCTCCTGCCCACATATACACGCACACACGCGTTCTCTCATTAGCTGTATTAAGGAGCTCCAGGTTGTTCATTATAGTGGATTGAGGCTGTTCAGAGTGCAGAGACACTCGGCAGTCAATGTCCATTTAACTGATCAGCACTGTTGAATCAAACATTGTCATCCAGCCCTCATTCAACTCGTTATGCTGCTTATGTTTATATGTAATTTGATCGGTTCATTTTTAACAGTGTTTTTCAACCTAATCTCTATCAGCTGCACTGTCTGAAATACAGTACTGTGCAAAAGTCAGAGACCACATTTGAAAAAGCCAACTTACTGTTCTTCATTCTATTATTCTATCCTGTTTTGGTAGTGTTTTAATGGGTAGCTATCTTTGAGCAAGAACCATGAAACTTGGCAGGACTGTAGAGCCTATATCGGAATAGCATGCTTGGGCTTTTGAGCTCGATGGCACGTATGGTTTTTATTCAGCATTCACTCAAACACTAATCTTTCTTTTTCCCTAGGAAATGAATGGTGAAATGTTGAGAAACCTATGTTGAGTTCAGATCTACCTCTCCAAATGTCATATTAGCAACTACTTGGCATTCCATAGCAATGGCCTATCAACACCTTCACAACCACCTGGGATTTCATAGCAAAGTGAAGTTAATTTACATATTTTTCACCTTCTAGTTTGATTTTCAGGCAAAACAGCCATTAAGTAGAAGTCTTTCATTTTAAAGCATCAGGAAAAATAGCTGAAAACATACAGTATTGTGCTTAAGCCCTCGGCACCTAAACATTATTTAAAGCCATTTATCTGACACTAAATGTGTTTTTGCCAGAAAAATAGGCCATCTCTCATTATAACAGATGTGAGTACACATAAATATAGAAACAAGATATTTGTATTTTGAAAAAAGTAGCTGATACGTTCGGAGCTAGTTTGATGAACAAAATTTGGATCCAGATTTCTTGTTGACACTCCCAACCATCACAGAGATTTAATAAATTCCATCATCAGTACTGATTTAACTTAATGAAGCATTAATCAGCCAAACCATGTGTTAACTACAAATAATAATGGGCTGCCATGGAAAGAGGTTTGGAAATGGTTAAACAAACAGATTAATATACATAAAATCACTACTTACTATATTAATGTTATTTCTTTTTCTAATATTAGTACTTTTTCTGAGCAAAGAAACCCCTACCCCCCCCAGAAAATTTCTTATTCTAATACACAGTACTGTATATTTACAAGAAAATTACACCAAAGCGTCTACAACTAAGTGTAATATCAAATCTATCAGTATTTAGCGTGTCCACTCTTTACATTTATTATTTCTTCTTCTGTTCTTTTCAGGAGACTTGCTTTCAGAATTTTAAAGAAATCTGTAGTGATATTCTGCCACACCTCCAAAGTTCAGTCTTTCTCCTTCTCACGATCTAAGAAATCTCTATTACAAATTTTGAAATCCTTCCAAAAAACCCTACTCCACATCACAGAGGTCCAGCTTCAGTGTTCTCCCTCCCAGTAAAGGCTTCTTGACAGCAACACATCCTTTCAGACTCATAGTGTCGAGTGTCTTCTCACAGTGGAAGGATGGACAGAAATGTGGATTTATTCAGATCTGAAGCAGCTTGATTCAGTTTTGATGGTCTACCAGGTCTTGCACAAATGTTATGAGCCTCGTTTTCTATGTATCTTTGTCATTTTTTGAATGGAAGCCTGCTTTTTTCCCCAATTATTTTACTTTGACATTCCCGAGTGGATTATCATATCTGCTCCGAAAACTGAATAACTTGTCCTTAGTGTAAAACAGTTATATACTTTTGCACAACACTGTACAGCCACATGCACATCCATTTAGACGTTGCCATTTCACTTAATGAAGCACAGTATCAGCTGTTAGTGGTCCCATATTCTCTGTGGTTCTATGCTGCATGCTCATTTTAAAAACTCATTTAAAAATGGCAAGATGATAAATTATTGTTTAATTTTTTTCCCCAAATTAAACAGCTTTTTTTAAAAATACCTGATAAAGTAAACAAATATTAATATGAGTTCAGACATGCGTACATTGCCGACGTCACGACACACTTCCAATACACTGCACTTTGAGGACCCTCTTTCTACACTTTCCATTTTACTTCTCATACCATCATTGCACTTCTTAAGGGTCTTTTTTTTCAGTAATAAGTGTTACATCTCTCTCTCGCTCTTTCTCTATCTCACTCTCTTTATGACCATGTATATTTTTTTTCATCCACCTGCACTCATTGCTGGCTTGCCATTCATAACCTCATACACCTAAAATGGTAAACTTATAGGAGAAGAGTGGGGGGGGGGTCTTTTTAAGGTTATAATCTGTTAAAAATGTACCACAGTTTATTTTATGCAAGTATACAATATTTCAGTTCATTTCTTTTGATTTATTTGTCATGAAATGTTCACACAATGTCAAGGGCAGAAAAAATAGTTCTACAATGTACTGTGTTCAAGATTCCTTTGTTAGGAAGTATTAAAGATGCATTTTAACAGCAATCTGCTGTTTTAACTCTCATTTCCTAATATTTATGTGCATACATACAAGATTTAGACAAGAGGATGTTGTTGATTACAGTAATGTACTGCTGTCAATGTGCAGTCTTACAAAACACAGTTAAAAATACAGTACAATACATAATTACTGCAGAGCAGGAGTGCTGTAAATATGAATTACAGTAACTACCTGCCAACTGTAAATATACAGAGTGATTATTTAAAGTGTTCAAACTGTGTTTTTCTTGCAATGTAACACTCCTTTTTGTTCTTCAGTATCACTTCTAAAGAGAAAGTGTCTCATTTACAGTCTTCAACTAAAGGCACCAATTACCAAATAGAAAAGTTTTCCACCATTATTCACACTCTTGCTTCTTCACACAGGAAATTGGACGGCAGCTAAATCAGGAGTAGAGCACTCAGTGACAGAAAACACAGGAAGAAAAGATCAGATGTACAATAATCAGTGTGTGAGAGAGAGACAGTGTGTGTGTGTGAGAGAGAGTGAGATACGGGTAATGAACCCTCAGAGGTACGTCCATAGAATGATGGTGCAGAAGGCTGACAGATAAGGTTTATGTGAAAGCTGAGCTCCAGGGCAGTCTGGGGTTTGTGAGAGTGAGAGAGAGAGAGAGAGAGAGAGAGAGAGTGTGAGTGAGTGAGTGAGTGAGTGAGTGAGAGAGTGAGTGAGAGAGTGAGAGAGTGAGAGAGAGAGAGAGAGAGAGAGAGAGAGAGAGAGAGAGAGAGAGAGAGAGAGAGAGAGAGATGTACTGTGACTGTGTAGTCACGTAATGTAAGGATCAATATATAGATATGGTGACGGTGTGAGGGTCCTTGCCCCAAGCATTTGTGCGTGATCCAGTGTGTTTATGCCCGTTAGGGATGCATCGATACACATACTGGTATCAGTCCAGTACTGTGCTCATTAACTCATACTCGCAAAAATGCACTGATACCAACATCTGATAGCAGCTGATACCATGTGACATAAGCCTAGTGTAGCTGCTGCGCTAATGAACAAACAGCTCCAGCTGGCAGTGACGGAGGCTCTGCTCACACAGAGAAGTGTTGCTGACTCCGTGGCACTCAGACACAAAGTCACTGGTCGCTTTAAACATTCTGCCTCGGCATATTCTTGCCAGGCATGTGGTGTGTTATTTTAGGCCTTTTTAAACACGCAAACAGAATTACAACCACTTTTACCAATATGGGTGGACAACCGTAGGCTGGCAAAACGCAAAAAGGCACAAAAAGTCCACTTCTGTGGAACCAATTTGTAAGGATTAGATTGCATTCAGCCACAACAGCATTAGTGAGGTCAGGTACTGATGTTGGATGATTAGTTCTGGATCCCTCCAACGCATCCCAAAGGTATTAGATGGAGCTCCATCACTCCAGAGAACACAGCTCCACTGCTCCACAGCCCAACAGTGGGCTACTGTAGGATAAGTAGGATGAAGCATATTCCTATTCATGTGCTTGTTTTTAAAAAATTTAGTTTGTGAGACAAACCAGATGCGATTCTGTAGCGTTTTTAGTCGACCATCTGATGGAACAGATACACTTCCATTGTAACTGGTGTTGCACTCCACACCCGCTAGATGCAAATGTCCTTCTGACTTGCCACGTGATTTTTATGTACAAAGCATTTTTTTTTTCATTTGCCTGCATGAATGAAGTGTAAACTGCATAGAGGTCCAGTCAAATCACACACTCCCACTTTTCTATAGCATTCTAACCTATATTCATAATAATTTATTCAAACGTGATGATCTTATTGACCCAGTAGCTTCAGAAGATCTCCTGTGCTGTAAATTGTACCCATAAATTGTAAGTTGTAATTGTAATATCATTGCAAGAACAGATGGTCTGATTGTGTTGTGAAGTTTTAAACTTGTTGTGAAACTATCACTATAAAAGAAAAGGACAAAAAAACGGTGCTGGGGTCAGTGTGGATTGCACACATGGTTGTTTGAGCTCCACAGACACTTCA